TTTATTCCTAATAGATCTAGATAATAATATACATCCTCAGATTTTATTCTTCTGTGTGCCCATGCCTCGAGCCATAATGCATGGCTGTACAGAGGATTTTTGTATGTTGGGGACCGGGGTAAATGCAATGAATTATTGATAATTTATTTCAATTTCTTTGTGTGTTTTTTATTTGTGGAAACTGCCCCCTATACCCTAGCCCCCGCTGCGTACAGTCATGGTTCAGTGGCAAAGCAATGGCCTCGTAACTGTGAGGCCCCAGGATCAAAACCGTGTCGATGTGCTATATTAGTGCCCTTTGTGGGACATTAATCCTTATTACTGTCATTTATTAAGGGCGTAGGTCCCCTAGTTGATAAGCATATTCGCATACACATGCTTTAGCAGTCACGCAAAACAAACACTGGCAAATTATTATTCAACAAAATCTGAGGATGTATACTATTATCTAGATCTATTAGGAATAAATCATTGTCAAAATAATTCCATAAATTGGGGTAAAAAAAAAATATTCCAACGTTATGAGCGACAGCGTATATAACATACGTGCAGTACACGTGCTCTTTCAATCATCCTCTTTTGTTCTGAGCCTGTGATTTATCTGAAGCAGAGCTAACAAATAAAATGAATTGACCCAGAAAAAAGGGGTCGCGGTTACCATGATGCGGCAGTGTAGACTTTTAATATAAATTATTGATGATTTCTACGAGTGTACATTGAAAACAAATCAACAGTGTTGTGTCAAATATTATACTACTTATACCATACTTCAGGTTCAAGTTTCAATTTTATTTGTTTCACATTTCACAAAAAAGAATTCACATAATTGACAAAATTAGATATGAAATATACTAAAAGTGTCACATTATACGTATAAATAATTCTTTGAAAAGACGTCGAAATTAATTGTATTGCATAGAAGGTTATACAGGGTGAATTGTGAGGAACCTGTTAAAAAGCTCAGCTTGTAGATTGTAGGTTCCCATAAATAAAACTAACATTTGATCGAAGTGGTTGTAATGGTGAAGGACGTAACAATAATAAAAGTCATTGTGATTGATAAAAGAGAAGAAAAGTACCGGTACATGCATGACTCGGTGCCTTTTTTTTACATAAGGTTTTTTAAAGTATATGTAGGCTTAATGCCTAAAAAGGGAAATAGAGAGATAGAGAAAGAACAAGGCACAGGCAGATCCACAAATATATGTATATTGTATAAAGATTAATATACATCCCATATTGCATAAATCCTTGAAGCAATTAATCCAATTATTCTAGATATATTATCAATATCTGTATTTTTTACTGGGGGAAATGAATTACAAAAGTAGTTAAATTACCATAACTGTCAACAGATTGATTTAAATGCATAATAAAAGTATGAATTAAATTCCATGAAGTAAGACGGTCAAACTTTACAGATAGAGATTGACAAGGAGAGAGGAAGAGAGAGGGGGAGAGGGAGTGATAGAGAGAGGGAGAGAGAGAGAGGGGGGATGGACAGAGGCAAAGAGTTACAAAATGGATTTCAAGCCATGAATTTAGAATTGACTTTTGGCATATAGTTTGTTGATATTCATGAAACTTCTATTATATATTTGTTAGGCCTAATATACGTAAATCAACAATTCATGAAAAAAAAAAATAAAATGCAAAGGATGATAAAATAATACAATCTATAGTGACTTATGCCAGATTTGTTAGTGTACATGCCAAAGTTCACATATTTATGATGCTAATCATCAAGAAAGGTCAGATTAAAAATCAAAGTTGCATTATTGCCGATGGATCAGATACAAATAATGTTTGTCGTCCGAATTTTCAGAAGGCAGAATAGTTTTTTTCCTCAGGGAAATTCAAATATAAAGAGAAAGTGAAGAAGTTACTTTACACATAATTGTGTCCTAGTTTGGATTGAACCAATTTGGATTGAACCTGTACACCACGTGACCTATTTCAAATTCTGACCTTTCGAAGAAGGCACTTATACGAAGGAATTCAAGTATTGGCCTAATCCAATAATCGCAGTAAAACCGGCTAATGTCGGCTCTAGGCTCTAGAATATTCTTCAATATTTATGCATACAAATGGCAGACTACTGTTTCAAACATCGGCTTTACAATGACAGCTTATAATCAATGGTAAGAAAATAGAAGAGAGAGGGTTATGTGTCTTTTAGAATAAACTTTCCCGACACAAAATCAACTTTATAATTTACGTGTTCATCAACTTGATGATTTCATACATTAAAGTAATGTCTATGTAAGATTAATTCACAGTTCCACTTTGCCTGTACTTGGTCTTTGGTTGGGTAATCCCTTTGGCAGCTCACTCAGGAAGCTATACTGGGATGGTAGGTGAGGCGAGTAACTACAAGGAGTGTCATGAATTGCAGGAATGGTGTGTGGACAAAGCACTCGTTAATTTACAGTAAAATATGCCAGTGCAAGTAAAAACCAAGCTAGTAAGCTTATATGATGTGGGAACCAACAGGGGGCTGCATCATTCTGATGGAGGGTAAAGCAGCCTCCTTGAAGTTGGTTATTCCTGTTGTATTGACTGTTTAGCGTGTCAGATGATTCCATATCCTTAGTGCTCCTGTGTGCCCGCCCCCCCCCCCCACTCAGTGTTATTTAGGGTACGCATATGCTCGTTCCCTCTTTTTGAAAGCACCCCCCTATCTGAGGACTGCCAACATTTCCGAACCCCCCTTTCGCGGGCTTTTCGCGGGCTTTTCCTGCCTTGGAGACCCCCCTGAATCGGAAAAAAATGCTCAATATACCCCCCTTAAATTCGAAATAATTTATCAGGAGTGCAAAGAGATGAGAGAAAAAACGAAAAAACACCCCCTTTTTAAAGAAATCTCCGGTGAAAAGTCAAATACACCCCTTTTTTTACAATTCTGGGGCCGGACTTTGTCACACGAAAGTACCCCTTTACCGGACATTTTGGCAACACGCATGCGGTCATTCCGACCCCTGAGTGGGGGGGGGGGGGGCGCCTGTGTGTTGCTTATTGAAATAAGCAAATATTTCAGTGACGTATTACGTAAAAGCCTATATATTCGTGAAATTCAGAAGCTCGTGACTATTAAACATCATTTTTGCGAGAGGATAAATTACATTTAGCTGGGACGAAAATCTCAGCTAAAGTGTTTGGAACATCTAGATGACCAATTGGAACAAGTAAAGATTTATTAACTTATTCGAAGAGGTAGTGCGTTTACATCAAGAGAAATACGAAATGCATTTTTAAAAAACATCATAAACAAAAAACACAACAAAAATTTTTTTTTTTTTTTAATACAAGAGGCAAATACATTGTTCCTGTTAACCCTAATAAGGCCGGGGGCATCATGCCCCCCCCCCCCTCCACGATTTTTCTGATTGCTCGGGAACGCATATGGATGGCTCCCGCCGCTCGCTGACTTTTTTCTTTAGAGTCTTGCGCAACTTTTAAAAGAATTTTTTTTGAAAATCGGACGTACGGTTACGTGACCTTTTGTCTTTGCATGTCAGCCCGAAAGTCGCTCATTTTCATGATTTGTGTACAAAACATATGGGAAAGTCATTTTTCCCTGAAACAGATCAAACATGGGTTATGGGGTCTTGTTTAAAGTTTAGGTGGTTGTTTTGGGAGTCAAAATAGTTGAATTGTAGTAAGAAATGAAATAAAACAACAAAACAATGAAATAAATAAGTTAAAAAAAACAATGAAATACATAAGAAATTATAAAAATAAGGGATAACATAAAAATAAGCTGGCTCTTCCAATTTTTTTGTCGTATTATTATTTAGAATGGTCAAATGAATATATGTAGTGAAAACGAATGCTTAAATATGAATAATATATGATTTATGGGTAAAATTGTGATTTGTATGACTTTATTTGCATAAATTACCATAAATATGCAAATGAGTGAATTTTTCAAAAAATTGAAATAATCATAATATTCTATACACTTCACTTGACATGCGTGCAAATTTTCACGGCGATCGGCCGCTTCGTCGTACTAAGACCTAAATAGCCCGGCCTTTTTAGGGTTAAAATATAATCTCTCTTGTCTGAAACTATCCGTATTTCTTTTACCCGTTGACTATTGAATTTTCATATTCCCCATGCAAAAACGGTTGCGGTGTTGTGGTGTATAGTAGTTCATTCCCTTGATTTTCAATCCTAGGGTTGAAGGTTCCAATCTCAGTCCTGCACTAACGTCTTTTGGCAAGACTCTAATCCATAAATGCCCGACATGACTTTCAAACTCCTTCTTCTTCTTTGGGCTCAGCCCTTTTGTTGAATTGTGTTGATATAGAGGGCGAAAACGACTTCTGCGAGGAAGCGGGATTGAGCGCTAGCTGCTAGCAATGTTGCCCATGCGACCCGAGGTAGCTCCCAACTGGCTACAAATGCATGTAGCTCCTAAACGCATTTGCAATCTATTCCAGAGAGTTTCTTTTAAGGGACCTCAAAATCTCTATATTTTGTCCAAAAAAGTGTATAGAAATCGAGCAAAAATTCATGGCAAGCACCAGTAATTCTGAACAATATGCAACCTCGGTGGACCACATAGGGTCTATATCGAGCTCAAACAAACCGAATACACAAAGTTCAAGTCGTATCTGAACGATTTGTACAACGTAGATTAGGTACCCTATACGTCGACTACGTGACAAAACTTTCAGTTTCACTTTGAAACGTTTGTTCCAATGGCACTTAGCCTTTTAATCTTGTGATCCTAAAGGCTGCCAAGGTTATGACGTGAACCAATCAAGTAATATGATCATCAGTACTTATAATGCAGGAATACACGTATATAATCACACTGGTACGTACGTTATATTGCGAGAATACAGGCATATAGTACAAGTACTATACGTACACTGCGAGAATACACACAGGAAAGGATCATGAGGAAATAAGCACAGCGAGAATAAGAAGAGTACTGGTATCATTGTTACATGTTTCAATGTGAAAGTGTGTGTTACAGACGCCGCACAGAAACCATGGACATAAGGAGGGTAGCTGTGCTAGGAGCTGGGGTCTCCGGTCTTGCTGCGATCAAAACCTGTCTGGAGGAAGGACTACAGCCAGTATGCTTCGATAAGGCAAGAGAACTAGGTAAAGTTTAATTTATTTTTGGACTATGCATGAATGCTTGTAGAATTCATTATACAGTTACACGTAGCTAGATTGTGGATCGATGTGAACCTAATTATCAATGAGCAATATTAACTCTTTGACTTCATACTTGTCTTCGTCTCTACTACTGGAAAAGGTCTTGTACGTACGCTTGTATTACGCATCCGAACGAACAGGGACAATCACCCCCCCCCCCCCCCCCATCCAATTACCAGCGGACAATAACCCCCCCCCCCCCTGGAAAATTACCCCATATATCAATTACCATCCAAAAA